AATAGAATAGAAAATATAGAATGGAGTGGAATGGAATGGAATGGAATAGAATAGAATTCTTTATTGAATAGAATTCTTTATTGAATAGAATTCTTTATTCTTTATCTCTAAGTGAAATTGGACACACAAGGAATTTGTCTTTGCTGCATAAGCTCTCAGTTGTACATAAAAATTACATTCATCAAAGAATCATAAGGTGCAACACTTAGCGATAGTCCTAGGATACTAAATAAGCGATCTAGTCACACTAGGAAGCTAAACAAAGCAATATAAATTGTAAAGATACAAGCAACACGGTTACAGTCATAATTAGGAGGAGATAGATAATAGGAAAGATGAGAAGAAGAATAGTAATACAGTCTTGGTAAGAGAATGTACAAGTTGGAATTGTACTAAGGGAGTAGACCTACAGGTAATCCTTGACTTGTAACAGTTCATTTAGTGATTGTTTGAAGTTACAATGGCACTGAAAGATGTGACTTATTACCATTTTTCACACTTACAACCATTGCAGCATCCCCACAGTCATGCAAACACCATTCAGATGCTTGTCAGTTCATACTTATGATGGCTGCAGAGCTCCGGTGATCCCCTTTTGTGACCTTCTGACAAGCAAAGCCAGATTCCCTTAAACAACCGTTTCACTAAGTCAACCACTGCAGTGATTCACTCAACAATTGTGGCAAGAAATAGGACAACATTCACCTAACAACTGTCTCACTTAGCAACAGAAATTCCAGGCTCAGTTGTAGTTGTAAGTTGAGAACTACCTATACTGTAAGGATTATTTTAACAAGACTACCATACCCTCCCAGTTGTTCCATGTTGGTGTGGAATGTGGTGAAATTAGTCTATCTTAAGTCATATTCCATTTCTCAAGACTTCATGAATGTATCCTGGTAGGATTTGGAGCAACAGATCAGAAGTGGTTTATCATTGCTTTCTTGTAATTTTTTTTTTTTTTGGATATTCTTGGGGTCTTGTAGTATCAATTAGAATGGACCTGGTTTAACTTTTCATGATCAATGTTGACTAATACTTTTGAAGGTCTCACTTGTTCATCTTAACAGAGAAGTTGGGTGGTACTGTCCATGGTCCTGAACTCAGTGCTGTCCATGGTCTTGAATCTGCCTACTTCAATGCACTTCCATCCGTTGATGCATTGTTTCATTTAAATGGTTAGTGATCTGGATAACTAAAACTCTTCTGGATAAGATACAGGGTCCTGGGAACTTACAGAAAGTTGCAAAGTTGGTAGTAAATATCAAAACACTAGTTTGGAAAGTGTCAGCACTTACAATTCTCCAGGCT